CCTTTCCCCGGCCACCTTCCCCAAAAAGGAAGGGGAAGTGGTAGGCCAGCGAGGGGAGAATGATTCTCCTATCTGTGTCTACAGTAGCTGGTGTCTGTATCTCTAGGCGGAGGGAATTCACTGTTCAGACATAACCACGTAGTAGACAAGAGAAAGAATGTGTAAATCCCTGTAGCGAAACACTCAATCCGAGTGTTACGTTGGTAATCTGTTTAGTTCTGTGTGGGAGACAAACTGAGAGCACAGGGGGGTTGGTCCCCGAGGGTGTGACTTCTACCACGGAGAGAAGACTCGTGGTAGGTTGGCAGCCATACCCCAGCACCTCCTCCCTCTTGGTAGGAGGGGCGGGTAGCTATGGTGAGATAAACCTAGCTGAGCAAGCCACGCGATAGTGCAGGCAAACGAGGCGCCGCCGAAGTTGCGCGCCGTACCCCCCTAAAATTGAAAAATTTTGTATTTCCGGAGCATTTCCTTAGACACACGAGTGGATAGAAAGCTGCAGGGCCTAAGAAACGTTGAGCCTCACCTGTCAGCACTGAAAGAGGCTATCCCCGAAGGGTGGATGGACCTTCTGGGCCCGGAAGGGCAGGACCCACCTGGTACTGGTATGCACCAGGGGCCCCATCAAACCCCCCCACAGTCCGGAGGCTGCAGGAAGTAACGGAGAGTGGGTTTAGGAAGATGATTGTCTGGACGGTCTCCCCCACTGACGGCAGCTTGAGAGAAGGGCAAGCATTAACGGTCCAGGTCTGGGACAACCACCCCACAGATACGCGTGATACAACAGAGGGACGGGAGAGGGGCTCTGCGCAGTACAATCTGGGTGGGACAGATGACACTGCGCAACTTGTCAAAAGACCCGGTTGCGTGGAGGTGTTCGGAGGGAAAAATCACCAGGGCGCATCCACAAGGTTTAAACTTGGCCAACTATTCAGCAGGGAAATCGTACCTGATTGCTAAGAAGCCTCTGAGGTCCGCAGCGTATGTGGCAATAGCTAGGTGAAGTGCTGTCCTGCCGCTGGAAGCTGTGGAAGGTGCTGTTTGATCTCCCAAACGTGAAACATGGAAGTATCTTGTGGATGCTTTCACTTCTTGTGACACCCTGTGCAGTATGGCTCGGAGCGCGAGGGGTAGAGGTGGAGCTGGGCTGTACTGGCTGCAGATGGCCTTTCAGGTCCACCCGACACTTATGGTGGGACTGTTCGGCTTCTAGTCGTGTTTGGCGATGGGGGGCCACACATTGGCAACTGATGGGGGGAAAAGGGGTAGTATGGGAGGAGAAGTGGGTTCTGTCGGGGTTTACTGAGGAAGGATGCACCGGGCTCAGAGGTTGGCCGTATGTAGCACAAGTGGCCAGGGTGGTGATCTGCACAGTAATCTGGGCAGACCGCAACTGCTCCAGGTCGAAGGACGCCCTTTCTCAGACAAGGAGCTGAAGGCAGCAATAAGGAAAGGTCTGAGGCAAGCAATAGCAGTGGATTGGCGAAGGAAGGCAAGGGAGGGGAAAGCCTGTGTGACGTGCACTATGGTGGTTTCTGAAGACCTGGGCTATTCGGAACCAGCTGGCGGGCTACCATTGCACCCGAGGGCTAGTCTTCTCTGATTGGCTGTTAGAAGGGGGTTAGGGGGTTAGCAGGAGTGGGCCTACGAGCCAGGGCATCTCGGTTCGAGGATCAGACTGCAGGAGGTCATTTAGGGGGAGGTGGTAGAGTGCCACGGTGAACAGGAACTTCTGTTCCAATCGGTCGGGGTAGACCGGTGTCAGGCCGTGTAGTCATGTGAAGGTAGATCCGGGGTAGGCCGTAGGTTAGCTTAGAGCATTGGTTGAACAGTCCAACGTGAGAAAGAAGAAAGAAAGAGTGGAATGGTGTTAACGGCTGTGTCGTCCCCCGTACGTCGTACGGGGGGTTTATCGTATGGTCGTACGTACGGCCGTACGTACAGCCCCGTATGTGTCGTCCCCCGTACGTCGTACGGGGGGTTTATCGTATGGTCGTACGTACGGCCGTACGTACAAAAAAAAAAAAAAAAAAAAAAAAAAAAAAAAAAAACGTTTTGTTTTTTATCTCAAATTTGGTAACAAATTTCAATATGACCCTGAGGCAAAAGTGTTTCAGTTTATTTTTATGCATAACATATTTGTTTTTCAGATTTTTTTGATTTTTTTTTTTTTTTTTTTCCGTATGTACGGCCAGTACGACCACATGAGCCCGTACGTACGGCCCGTATTTGTACGGGGGTATACACAGGTTAACGGGCGGCAATCAATTAATTTTCTGACTGGGTTTATGGAATTGTTAGAAGGGAGGGTGGTACGTCGGGCAGCATTGAGAAGTGATAGGTCCTAGGAGCAGTAAGGATAACTTGTTAAGCTAAACCCGCTGATGTTGCCGGGATAACTCTGGGTTGAATTGTGAGGTGCCCGGCCTCCCTCTGCGTTTGAAATAAAGAGTATGAATTTGGTTATAACTCTGGGTTTAGCCCCGACGTGGAATGTCATGATGCAGGCTGGGGCTATGTTGGTTAGAAGCCAGCTCCCGACAGAGGTATTGCCATGCGTGTGATTTGGCAATGGCAAAACGATGCTCTTTTCAGAAGCCAGCTCCGGCTAAAAGGGCAGTTACAGGCCCAGGTTCGAAAACGGATGTAGTACACAATACTGATTGACCGGAGGAGAAAAAAGACGATTTTTTTTATTTTATTTTTTGTTAGAAGCCAAACCGGGTCAGGGCCTATTGGGCTTGTAAAGATATGGAGTCTGAATAATCAGCTGGCTACTCTGGACACAGACCTAAAAGTAGTCTTAGGCCCCTGGGGCGAGGTCCCACTTGCAGAGAGGATTGGATAAATATCCAGAATCTGGACGAGTTTTATGCAGAGATGAAGAAAAGAAGTTCAATCTCGATGTTTTGCACCGTTTCGCAAACAAGTCGAGATTCAGGCATTCAATCCAATCCTGTTTTCTAGTGGGACCTCGCCCCTGCTGAAGGCATTGTAACAAGTAAAGGTACTATGGGGATGTAGATGACGACCCCCTCTCTGGGGCTACTTCAGATTGCATGGTCACATGATACATTTCAGCACAGAGAGAAGCTACAGATGACGTAATATGACAGATAAGTTGAGGCCTGCAAAGGCCTGGTGTAGTAATTAACAAGGCTTTCTATTGTAGAATATAAAGTGGAAGTTTTGAGGGACACTGGACCTGGTTTCCAGCTTAGCCTAAACTGGGTAATTGCCGCAGACTCGGGTTGAGATGTGGAGGGATTCCAGGCCTCCGTTGCTGTCTTTCAAATGAATAATTCTTTCTTTCTTTTTTTTCTCTTTTTTTTTATAACTATGCTATATTTTTCTCTCAAATCTTTCATCATCTTTCAAATTCTTTCAATTCACCTTCACTACCTACCTACCTACCACTACTCCTAAGGCTTATACAGGGGACCCTTGTCAAACATAGCTTTGTTGTCTCCGTCCAGCCATCAGAGGGGATGCATGTTGCCCCTGCCCCAACCATGAAGGTCAAGGATGGTTTGGGGCCGCCGGTGGGGGTCTGGCTAACGCAAAGACCGCACCTGGCCATGCGTACTTCAATTGGCATTTTGGAGGTGCGGGTGACTTGACTACAAAAACCTGTTTTGATCGAAAATCAAAACTTGGTTTTTGAGGTGGTTACAGTTACCTCAAATAAAACATAGAACGAAAGTGAGTTCCATGTAAGCAAAAAAACACCGCAAAAGTTATAAATTCCTCCTGCGTGTAGTCGTTTGCCCCTGGGCCGTGGCAAAAGGTTCGATAGGCCCGGAAAGCTGGTGGCAAAACTTACGGATCCCTCGCTCCTCACGCCTTTTGGGGCTGGGCTTCCCACACGTCAAGGGGGCAAACGAGTACGAACCTTTTGTCACCGGGGTTTCTATCATGTTTCCCAAAAATCACGTCTGGAGGGTCGTTCCGGCTCGTTCGAAAGAAAAAAAACAAGGAAAAAAAAAGGAAAAAAAAAGGAAAAAAAAAGGAAAAAAAAARGAAAAAAAAAAAAAAAAAAAAAAAAAAAAAAAAAAAAAAAAAAAGAAAAAAAAAAGGAAAAAAAAAGGAAAAAAAAAAAAGGAAACAAAAGCTGGGCGCCGTGGGCGGTGCTTTCTACAAGCACGGACGTCATAACTACACGCGCCGACCGTGGTGTACAGAGGGTCTGAGTAAAAAAAAAGGGCAAAAAAAAAAAACCAGCTCTTTTGGTATTTTTGCTATTTTGCCTTCTTTCCACAGGAATATGGCTACCTTGTAGGGAGTTATGTAACGATGCAGGGGTATTGAAAGTTGTGAGGCCGTGAACACGGCTATTGAAAAACGTGGTACCTAAACTTGGGCAACAAAACGAGGCAGGGGAGGGACCTGAAGCCGACGAAAAAACGCGGTATTCGAACCATGATAATAATGAGATGAAGGAAATATCAGGCCGCGCGGGAATACTGAGGAAATTACTGGACTGAACTGACATGACCCCGCTCTGACTAGTGGGCGGGAAACCTGGGCAATGTGCCTTTCGGTCGGGAAGGGCGGTAAGAGTTTTTCGGCATCGGCGTCCGCTTGGCCGAGCGAAAATCGGAACCAGCGCAATGAGTATAAGAGGATTGGTACTGTAGCGTAGCAGCCATCTCGAAATCCCCCTGATGAGGCCGCTATCAGGTGGCGGCTGAAACTAGTCGGGGATGCCAGACGCTTCCATCCTCAAGCTTTTTCACTCTTTCATGGCGGAGGAAAGGAGGTGATACCGTAGCCTTTGCTACGGTTGCTGTGCTATCTCGCTCATATCTGTTATTTGGGAACTATTTTCGAGATTGTTTTCGCGTACGACTCTTGCCATGAGTAGCACGGCCGTGTATGCAAGCGTGTGGTCAGACCTTGTTTCTGACTTGCTGTTCTTATCTAGTACCGTCAGAGGCAACCTGCCAGGACGATCTACCTACGCTTTGGTGGCCCTGTAGTTTTAGCTGTTCACGCGACGAGAAAGACACGATACTGTGAGCTGCGAGAAGACAATTTTCAGCAAGGAACTGGACTTAGCAATGGCAACTGGAGGGGATCAGAATGGTAACTGGAATGGCGGAAACGGCGGTGGAGGGAATGGTGGTGGGTGGAATGGTGGAAACGGTGGAAACGGCGGAGGGAACAACTGGAATGGTGGGGGCGGTAACATCGGCTATGGAGGCGGCGGCAATAACGGCAATGGCGGGAGCAACGGTGGTAATGGGGGTGGCGGAAACGATGTTAACGGTGGAGGTGGTAACTGGGGAGGTAGAAACGGTAACGGAGGAGGTAGAAATGAGGGTAATGGTGGCAATTGGAATGGAGGCAGCCATGGGAACTGGAACAATAGTGGGAATTGGAACAACGGGGGCAGCGGGGGGAACGGTAATGGCGGCAACAGTGGCGATTGGCGGAGGTCTGCTCGTTGCTACAATTGCAACCAGTTCGGTCACATTGCCCGGGAATGCAACGCGCCCCGGCAGAACCAAGGTAGCGGCAATTGGAACAATGGCAACAATGGCGGTGGACGAGGCTGGAACAGAGGACGTAGTAGCAATGGAGCAAGTAGCTCTTCGTCGACGGGGGAGGCAACAAATATGATTGGGATTAATCGGGAGTTGGAGGAATCACTCAAGGCGGTATGCCTGTTTTCGCAAAGGCATATCGAAATGGAGGAATGACGCGAGACCGAGCAGAGGGAAACGGAAGAACGAAAGAAACATCAGGAGGAGGAGAAACGAGTAAGAGAGGAGAGGAATCGCATCATCATGTCGTGAGGGACGCCGGGGAGTAGCCGGATGTGAATATGGAAAAAAAAAGCTAAAGAAAACAAAGAAGCGGACCGGGAGTGGAAGCTGGAAATGCTGCTTGCAAAGCAAAAGGCAACTTTGATATAAGAATTCGAGAAGATGTTTGACAAGAAACTGCAGAAGGCTGTTGTATCCGAAAAAGCGCTGAAAGGTAAAGCAGCGGTGGCCGAGATGAGTTCAGATGAGGAGGAGGAGGATCTCGCGGAGGAGCGTCTCGAGAAACGTAAGCGGCAACCTCCGACTTTGGCGTGTCAAGCCAGCCCGCCTGGCGAATCGCCTTCGAAGGTAGGGAGGGCCTCGACTTCCGAACCTCCAGGCACTCCGCGCCAGGACGAGTCCTCGTGCCTTCGGATGCCGAGCAGACGGGAACGGACTGGTACAGAACAACTCGGATTCCCACTGCGGGAATCTACCTTATGGGAAGGTGCACCTGCGGCCAGCGACTTGAGTTTGGTAGTGGCACTGCGTAAAGCACTGCGTAAGTTCCTGACTAAGAAAACGAAGCCAGCGATTCAGGACATGTGTAGGGAGGCGGGGGTAGTCTACCAAGGTCGACCTGATGCTACAGACGAGCTGATAGAGCTGAGAGTTATGTACTTGAGCACCGAACGAGCGCCGCAGCAAGCGAGGGCAGCAACTCCAAGACCACGAGGAGGTGGCATCGTCATCCGAGACGTCCAGGTGACGGAACGTGACCAGCCAGCTTGGAGATCCGAACCCGGGCCTGGGAGTAATGGCCAACGTAACGAGGACCCGGTGGAATGAGCTCGCCAAGTACTTGGAACTGCGTAAACTATGCGCGGCCGACCCCGTGTTAAGGAACCATTGACTTCATGAAGTGCTCGAAAGCGTGCTAAGATATCTATTTGTGTTGCTTGTTTTGACGGGAGGGGTTCAATGGGGTGGTAAATTTCTAGGTAATTAGTTGGACCTTATCGATAATAAGTTAACAGATTGGGAAGAGTCGGAGTCATGTGTGTATGTGCTAATCGATCCGGGGTACGAGCCGTGTATATGGGCCAGACTAGTAGGTCATTGCTAACCTGGTGGGATGAACATATATACCTTACGGACCACCCGGATGGAGCACGAAACTCCAAATTGTATAGCTGGTTAAGAAACCATGGTTCTTCTAAGTATATTGCCTTACCTGTCGCGTTTGTCCCTGCTAGTGACTTGGCGAGAGTGGAGAGAGCGTTTATTGGGAAGTAGTGCCCCACACTGAACACTAAGGGGGTAAAGAAAGCCGGCAAGTGAACCAAAAGAAAAGGCAGAAAACAAAGAAGAAAAGCAAGATCTTTGGCCTATTGTTTGGATCGACCAATGGTTTTTGAATGAGGTGAAGTCCGGTCTACTAATCTGACAGATGTGTGTAAGTGAGCATGGGAGGAAACTAAGTCGGTGAAAACGGAAGGGGGAAGACTGTGGGTTCATAAGTGGAGAAAGGTTGTGAAGGAGATTGGTGATTCGGTTGTCATAATTGGCAATGAACAACAACTAATTCAGGAAACCAAGTCAAGATTGGAGCAGGGAGTAGTCTTTCAAATTGTGAAGCTGCAAACAAAGAGTCTGTCGAAAAGCAGCCGCATGCTGAAGCGTGAGTTGCACCAGCTGATTCGTAACCCCTTCATATAACTACGATTTGGCAAGGCTTATGAAGCTTTTGAGAGCAGCAAACCTTTTTTCAAGAGAAGGGACCAGAAAAACGTTGAAGGAAGTTCTGGCCGGGGTTATTAGGCAAAAATTTAGTTTTAATGTTAGAATGAAGTTATGTGTGGGAACTACGTATGATCTGAGTCTGTCACAGCGGAAGTTGCGTGAAGTGGTATGTTCGAAGTTTCGGGAAGAATTGCCGGAACCGCTCGCCGAATATGCGTGTCGTAAACTCCTGATGGTATGGAAACGAAATCCATCCGTTGGCGAGGTTATCCATAACCACCGTGCTGCCGCACAACAGTCGGTTGGGGTCTGTTGTTGTGCAGACAGCGCCCTCCCAAGGAGGCCCTCCCAAGGAGGGAGGGCCATGTATTGTGCAGGCAGTGTGAAGTCCAGGGCATGCAAGGGATTGTCCTGAACGCCCGAAATATTTTGTGTGGGGGGGGAGTGAAGAAAGACAGAACGGTGACGAAAGTGAACGACTCTTTGGGAAAAATGGGTTTGAGCTCAGTCGTTGGCAGGGGGATATTGTGAAATGTGTGAACCGGAACTTGGGCGTAAAGGCGGATTATGGGAATCTCGTACAAAAAGTAAAAAATGTATGTCGTGGCTTGGTGTGCTGTGCAATTGATCGGAACACATCAGACACGGCTGTGATGTGTCCTGAGGTTTATGCAAAAGGCATGAAGGACACTTTCTGGGGAAACGAGAGTTTCAACGCTATATGGGAAGAGGAGAAGGTGTTGTTAAGCAAGTGTGAAGCGGACTTTAAAGCAGGGAAGTTGGACGGATTAGGGAGGTGGGACAAGCAGGGGACAGTCGGTCGAGCCTACATTATCCCTAAGCATAAGGATATATACACGTTTTGGCCGATCAGCCCCTCCTTCTCTGAACCTTCCAAGACGGCGAGCGGATGGGTGGCCAGGGCATTGAACCATTTGCTATTTCTGCTTGCCTAAATCCATGCATTTTAATCTGAAGTCCACTGGCCTGCTAAGGGATCGGGTTATGGAAGTTAACAAATGGGTCGGAAGGAAAGGTAAGGGTGAKTTAGTGGGGGCAGCATTTGACATTAAGGAAATGTTCAGCCAACTGCCCCAYGACTCCATCATGAACGCCGTAGACTGGCTCCTTGCTTGGTACAKAGGAAAGRGTYGTACGATRGTTAGCATTAGACGTAGGGGCAAGGGTGCGGCGTTCGCAAGAAAGAATGGTAATGATTTTTGGTTGGAGGTGAGCTTTGAGCTAATCAGAGGGATGGTTGAGTTCGAGTTGAAGCATACCTACGTATCGGCATCCGGAAGACTTGTCCAGCAGCATGTTAGCATCCCAATGGGGAAAAGCAGTAGCCCCCCACTGGCATGCATATTGTGTGCAATGAACGAGTTCCATTTTTCGGCAGGGTTAGGTGCGGATCGGAGCCTGGTCAAAGGAATTAGGTTGATGGACAATGTCACAATCCTCATCTGGTGCCCGCTGAGGAATAGTGGAAGTCGCGAAGAAAGGATTCTGGGGACGTTTGAAAAAGCGAATGACCAGAAAGTGTTCTTAAAACGAACAGACGAGGGGGAGGGCACTTGGGAGTTCCTGGGAACGCGCATGGAAATCAGAAGGAACCTTGTGTCGTGCCAGATCATTCCAAAGAATTTTGATCAAGTATGGGGGGAGAAAGAGAGTCTCTCCTATCGTACCTTCCAGGATTTCGAATCATTCTCCACGTTGAGGCAAAAGAAGGCGGTCATCACCTGCACGCTGCATCGAATCCAGAGTATGTCGACGTCAGATGAACTGGCAGGGTTGGGATTGCTAACTACAAAAAGACAACTATCCTGCCTGGCTGTTTAATGACTGTTTGGCGAAGTTCGTGAACAGACGCGCTCCATAGTGGGAGAAATGGAGATGCAGGTTTGGTAGTTGGTAGGAGGTGAAGAATAACTACAGAGGTGGTAAGCATGGCGGGAATATGGCTACCTTGTAGGGAGCTATGTAACGATGAAGGGGTATTGAAAGCTGTGAGGCCGTGAACACGACTATTGAACAACGTGGTACCTGAACCTGGGCAACAAAACGAGGCAGGGGAGGGACCTGAAGCCAAAGAAAAAACGCGGTACTCGAACCATGATAATAATGAGATGAAGCAAATATCAGGCCGCGCGGGAACACTGAGGAAATTACTGGACTGAACTGACATGACCCCGCTCTGACTAGGGCGGGAAACCTGGGCAATGTGCCTTTCGGTCGGGAAGGGCGGTAAGAGTTTTTCGGCATCGGCGTCCGCTTGGCCGAGCGGAAATCGGAACCAGCGCAATGATTATAAGAGGATTGGTACTGTAGCGTAGCAGCCATCTCGAAATTCCCCTGATGAGGCCGCTATCTGGCGGCGGCTGAAACTAGTCGGGGATGCCAGACGCTTCCATCCTCAAGCGTTTTCACTCTTTCATGGCGGAGGAAAGGAGGTGATACCGTAACCTTTGCTACGGTTGTTGTGCTATCTCGCTCATATCTGTTCTTTGGGAACTATTTTCGAGATTGTTTTCGCATACGACTCTGGCCATGAGTAGCACGGCCGTGTATGCAAGAGTGTGGTCGGACCTCGTTTCTAACTTGCTGTTCTTCCCAAAAGGGTTAATTGCAAAAATATTGCTTTTTCCAAGTTTGGCAACAAAAATGCTGTCCGTTCGAAGTTTCCTTTGCAAAAATAGAGGTTCGTTGCAACTTTACGAGGAACCTGTAATTTGCCAGCAAAAATGTCGCGTTTCGCCAGGTTTCACAGCAAGGGACCCGTAGGCCTCCGGCCTCAGGTACTCGGGCACTCAGCGTTCGCGCCTCAGGTACTCAGGGGCAGCGGTTTTTTTTTTCCGCGCGGGCGTGGCCGAGGCATCGCGGCCATTGCACAGCCACGCGTAGAGGTGCTTTTGTTTTCTTTTAAATGTCCGTCATGGCCGAGGCATCTCGGGCATGGCCACGGCTGAGATGCCTCTGCCACGCCAGCGGAAAAAAAAAAAAAAAAAAAAAAAAAGTGGCCGAGGCATCACGGCCGTGGCCGTGGCCACGGCCGTGATGCCTCGACCATGACCACGCGAAAAAAAAAAGGGAAAATTTTTTAAATGCCCCCAAAGTTTGCGTTTATTTGCGGAGTGCCCCTGTAAAGGCCGACTTACCCTGTGGTGCCCCTCGGGCCTCTGAAATTTTCCGCAGGCCCCTGTCAGCATGGGGCGTAACTCTCCGATATGCCCTTACTGGACCGCTGGTGGCGTTTCGTCGGTCGGTCCTTGAAATGCCCTCACGAGGGGCACACATCTTTCTGTGATGCCCTTGCAGCAGTGGTGGGAGAAATTCGAATTCAAAGTGGTAGGCATTCCATGTGCCGCCACGGGTCTGTATATGTGTGCATGTGTGTTGTGTGTGTGTGTGTGTGTGTGTGTGTGTGTGTGTGCGTGTGTGTGTGTGTGCATGTGTGCGCGCGTGTGTATATGTGTTGTGTGTGAGGCCTGATCTCTCTCTCTCTCTCTCTCTCTCTCTCTCTCTATCTATCTATCTCTATCTTTCTTCTCGTCTGTTGTATCAATTGTGGGAAGTAGGATAGTATTCCTGTTGCTGTCAGTCTGGGCTATTTATTGTTCTTGATTGTCTCTCTCTTTCTAAGCCTTGTTTATATATTATACTCTACTGTCGTGGGTGAATGGATTTTAATGAAGGAATGATTGGACAACCAAAGTCAGTTTCCACAGGTCGGGGATGGCCCAACAAGGGTCCGACATGGGGTTGACCAGGTCACCAGGACCATGATCCCAGATGGTTTGGCCAAAGTAAGTCTTCTTCAGGCGAACAACTGAACTTACTAAAGCCAATAATGTACTTAGTGTCTGCGAGCAGAGAGGTGAGCACCTTCTCCACAGTGCTCCTATTCACTTTAGAGGGGTGAAAAAGGAAGAAATGCCATGTTGTATTGACATCACTTGGAGGTTTTGCTGGGCACAGATAGGCACTCAAAGCCTTGCCTGCGTTGTCATGATTTTAGAGGTACACGGCCGTCACCAGAATTTCGATTTCGGAGCAAAATTGCTGAAAGCACGAGGTGAAGAACAGTAGAGTAACTACGAAGGTCTGCAGGAAAGCAACATATTATGGTCCCCACTTCAGCAAAGCTTCATAGCATGGATGCTTTGACACGTGGG